GTATCTATTACACTCTAGCTGGGTCTGTATCTATTACACACTAGCTGGGCCTGTATTTATTACATTCTAGCTGTAACTGTATTTATTACACACTAGCTGGGTCTGTATTTATTACACACTAGCTGGGCCTGCATTTTTTACATTCTAGCTGGGCCAGTATTTATTACACACTAGCTGGGCCTGTATGTATTACCCACTAGCTGGGCCTGTATCTATTACACTCTAGCTGGGCCTGTATCTATTACACACTAGCTGGGTCTGTATCTATTACACACTAGCTGGGTCTGTATTTATTACACACTAGCTGGGCCTGTATCTATTACACACTAGCTGGGCCTGTATTTATGGCACACTAGCTGTAACTGTATTTATTATACACTAGCTGGGTCTGTATCTATTACACACTAGCTGGGTCTGTATCTATTACACACTAGCTGGGACTGTATCTATTACACACTAGCTGGGTCTGTATCTATTACACACTAGCTGGGCCTGTATTTATTACACACTAGCTGTAACTGTATTTATTACACACTAGCTGGGCCTGTATTTATTACACGCTAGCTGGGCCTGTACTTATTACACACTAGCTGGGCCTGTATTTATTACACACTAGCTGGGTCTGTACTTATTACACACTAGCTGGGTCTGTATTTATTACACACTAGTTGGGCCTGTATTTATGAAACACTAGCTGGGTCTGTATTTATCACACACTAGCTGGGCTTGTATTTATGAAACACTAGCTGGGTCTTTATTTATGAAACACTAGCTGTAACTGTATTTATTACACACTAGCTCTAACTGTCTTTATGGAACACTAGCTGGGACTGTATTTATGAAACACTAGCTGGGTCTGTATCTATTACACACTAGCTGGGCCTGTATTTATTACACATTAGCTGGGCCTGTATTTATGAAACACTAGCTGGGCCTGTATTTATGAAACACTAGCTGTAACTGTATTGATCATACACTAGCTATACTTGTATTTATGATACGCTAACTGGGCCTGTATTTTTGATACACTAGCCCCAACTGCACTTCATGATGCACTAACTTTTTTTCAGTCAGCAAATGAACAAACTGCTACGCATGACACTGGTCACATTGCTTAAAATGTGTTTAAAGTTAAATAAACCTCCACACTCACAGAAGCAATATTCTGCTTCCCAACTGTAATCTTTGACTGCACGATTCAATAAAGTAATCAAATAGACAAATGTTGCCTAAGACGCGAGTCTTCCCTCCTGGGTCGACTAGAAGACAATCCAGGCATTGTGCCCCGCTGCTTCATGGTGGATGGTTCTGGTTTGTAGGCAGGCTGTTATTTCCCTCGTGTACATAACCACTGAACCACCTACGCTTACAGAATTGAATTAAACATTTCACGAATTCAAGTCACAGGGTTATTACTAGATTATCCATCCTTAGTTATGATTAAGAAGATATTGATTAGTAGTTTTCAAGGTATTGGTTTGAAATTGTAAAGACTTTGCATCCCCTAGAAACAGGAACTTCACCCAGCGTAGTCTGACTACATTCTATCATGTGTGTAATATTCCCCTTCATTCATCTTCATTCCACTACTGTTCGGATACTATGTAATCATGTGGCAATTTAATCTTCCAACTAAGACGCCTCCCCCGATGTGTTTACCTGGCTGTACACGTGAGTGCATGTGTCGCCCAGGACATACCATTTTGGAGACGTGAAGTAATGAGCTCGTTACGTGAGGGCTGACTATCGAGCTACCTTGCACTAGCCACTCGAGGGCTGGTCAGTAATTATAGAGACAGCGCTGTCTTGATAGTGGCTAATCAGAATGACGGTGGACATGATGAAACTAATTCCTCGCCAAGATAGTACCGGAACACACTCATGTCGGACGTCCACATGGAACTGCGGCTCGGACCCCAGTACATGGCACAGTTGTTTACCTGATCAAAGGACAGTGGATGCAGTTATGCCGCTAATATTATAGGTCTCATTATTTTCAGAAAGATACCACAGAAAGGAGAAATGATATTGTTCGTGTTTATATCTATTTTCTGCCATCCTTTTATGCTTCCAAAGAACAAGATACACGGACACTTAAATCTTTATTTAGTTTTTCTTATATTGTTCTCTATTTGATAGATATACAATACACTGACATATGACACACACACTTAGACCTTCAACAGCTTGCTGCTTCGGTTAAGAAGTCACCCTAACCTTCTGCTTCCTACATCAACTGACAACCATATAATGATTGTATCCACAGGTAACCAATACATACGCTATGACGAGGCCTCACTTGTTTCCATCCTTCATCAACAAATAACCAATATATACACTGTGATGGAGTCTCACTTGTTTCCATCCTTCATCAACAAATAACCAATATATACACTGTGATGGAGTCTCACTTGTTTCCATCCTTCATCAACAAATAACCAATATATACACTGTGATGGAGTCTCACTTGTTTCCATCCTTCATCAACAAATTACCAATATATACACTGTGATGGAGTTCACTTGTTTCCATCCTTCATCAACAAATTACTAATATATACGCTGTGATGGAGCCTCCAAAGACAGATAGATAGATATTCTTTATTGCCTCCATAGAATGAAGATTACATTGTGTGATAAACAACAGTACAGAAAAGGTTCTAACTATTAGTACTTAAATTATACAGTAATATCCAATTGTGAAAGAACTGAAGGTATGTATGAACATTGTCGGAGTATTCTCTCCCAACTGCGAACTGAGAAACTGATGATTACCATCAGATCTGACCAAACATTATAATCCAATACATCTTTACAGTGGTCAGGTATACCTCCGGGGAGGAATGACAGGAATACATCATCGTCTTCCATCCACATTTTAACAAAAATGTCTGTCAAGAATATCACAGATTGTTTCAAATAAAGAATTCCTTTCTACTGGCTTATAGTGGCATGGCATAAAAACATGTTTCATAATGTCTCGAGCAACTGTTCCGCATAGACATTCCTTTGATTCTATTGGGGTTGCATCAAGCCTTATAATTCTCGCAATGTCATTGAATGTCTGAGGTCGTTCTAAAGCGAGTATCCATAGTCTATGTTCTCGTCCTGATCTTATTGTTAGATATCTGGAGAGAGACTACCTTGTCTGCAGTACATTTACCAACAGCATATGTAGTTACCTTATCTTTGACTAGTTGCGACCAAGCATTTTTCTTCATAAACTTAGAATCACAAATGTAGTTACGGATTTCACTAAGCAGACTGTATTTGGAAAAAAGCCGCAACATGTTAAAAACAGGTGATTTCATAAGTTTCAAACTTATTCTTGTATATCAGTGATTCTTTACAGTGGTATTGGCTAAGGCGGGCTAAAACATTTGCTTAAAGCTGTATCTTGTGTTGGCATTACAGAGTTACCAAGGAGTAAGAGGCTTTGTTGATCTATATATCCTTGTAGGGATGTTATCCCGACTGTATCTCTTACAATATCATTTGACATGTACTTATTAAAGCCTTGGACTGTCTTACAGAAGTAGTACTGGATGATTTCAAGCATTTCATATTCTTTGATGGACAATTTGCCCCTAACTGTACATCCATACAAACCACAAGGTAGAATGTGATGAAGTCTCCAACATTCTCCAACTCTATATCAACATGTAAACAATACATACACTGTGATCGCGCCTTAGCAAATCTGGGTATTAAATTGTTTTAATTCCCCCCAAAATAATCATTTAATATAGAAGTCATAAAACGTTTGCTTTTGATGATGTTGAAATGAGATTCAATTACTTTCAGTGCCAGTGGTTTTATCACATTATGTCATCTATCCCAACTGACAGCTAGAACGAGAATGAATATGATTTGATCAGTTTCTAGTTCCGTTTTTAACGCAACGACACCATACCATATTAGATATGGATATTGAAACGTAACTTTAGTATCTAAATCAAAATCTTCTTCATTTACTTTTCTAAAAAGCTCAGCATTCATGTCATAAACTACATGGACAGAGAAAGAACCTTCCAGTGATATTATAAAGGGTCCTTGATATGTTCCCTGTGGGAGCTCTTAAACGTGTGGTTGTCCCCTTGGGATATTTTAGTGTAGGGAATCAATACAGTATTGTCTTATTCATGCAACTTGTGACAATACGGGATGAAATATGTTATTGAAGATGTTATGAAACCTGTAATGCATCTAGTGCCATTAATATTGTGCCTTTACTCCTTGGAGAGAAATCGTCTTGTCGCGATTATTCATGTTTCGCGTCGCGGAACTCCTATGATTCCATCCAATTATTGGCTTAAATACGCCTTACCTGAAGAAGTACCTGACGCTAGATCAGTGGGTGGGACCAGCTTCCATCCAATCATTCGGCATGGTAAGAGTGATCCCCAACTCGTGCAAAGTCATATCAGAGATTACAGAACAATGGCTCCCAGGTCATGAGACATTCACTATATTTCAATTGCACAGTAAATGAACAGTATACCTTGTCAACTACAAGATCTCCAAGATCATTTGATAATTGGCAAGACATTTTGTGTACTTCAAGTTTCTCATCAGAACTGTGTGAAAATAAATAACTTAAGGTTTGAAGCAACAAGTGACACTAACCCGTAATAGATTTCTGATTGTTCTGGTTTGAGTAAGAATGTATTGATGATGTTATGCTGCGTCAATCTATATCGTTATGAAACTGATTCATTAAACAAACAAAACACGTCACAAAATCTACATACATTGCAGAGATGAAATAAGATGAATAAGGAAATACCAAAAATATCGTAATGATGTTTATGTATACTTAACAAATTAATATGTCCGCACTGTTCAAAGCTACTGAATGATAACAATGATTTTTTAAAGAAGAAGATGAAACATGTAGTAATAGTAAAACATACGTGTCACGATCATGTTCAAGCTAAACAGGGTAAACAATGTTTTCAGTGAAAATTGCTGAGTTTGAATTAACCAGCTTTTAGTGGGAAAATGACAAACATATTTGCACCGGGGTTGTGGGATGGAGAGCGGGGTTGTGGGATGGAGAGCGGGATTGTGGGATGGAGAGCGGGGTTGTGGGATGGAGAGCGGGGTTGTGGGATGGAGAGCGGGGTTGTGGGATGGAGAGCAGGGTTGTGGGATGGAGGGGATGGATGGAGAGCAGGGTTGTGGGATGGAGAGCGGAGTTGTGGGATGGAGAGCGGGGTTGTGGGATGGAGAGCGGGGTCGTTGTGGGATGGAGAGCAGGGTTGTGGGATGGAGAGCGGGGTTGTGGGATGGAGAGCAGGGTGGAAGCAGGATGTGGGATGGAGAGCGGGGTTGTGGGATGGAGAGCGGGGTCGTGGGATGGAGAGCGGGGTCGTGGGATGGAGAGCAGGGTCGTGGGATGGAGAGCGGGGTCGTGGGATGGAGAGCGGGGAGAGCAGGGTGTGGGATGGAGAGCAGGGTTGTGGGAGAGCAGGGTCAGGGGATGGAGAGCAGGGATTGTGGGATGGAGAGCAGGGTTGTGGGATGGAGAGCAGGGGTTGTGGGATGGAGAGCGGGGTTGTGGGATGGAGAGCGGGGTTGTGGGATGGAGAGCGGGGGGTGGGATGGAGAGAGGGGTTGTGGGATGGAGAGAGCGGGGGATGTGGGATGGAGAGCGGGTTGTGGGATGGAGAGCAGGGTCGTGGAGAGCGGGAGTGGGATGGAGAGCAGGATCGTGGGATGGAGAGCGGGGTTGTGGGGTGGAGAGCGTGGGATGGAGAGCGGGGTTGTGGGGTGGAGAGCTGGGTTGTAGGATGCAAGTGGGATTCTGGGTATACGGTAGAAGTTCATTCATTTCTTCAGTTGGAATGGATACCTATTTCGATATTTTATACACATGTTATTGGTTTCAGACACAAATCGAGTGTGGTAGGCCCCTACCCTTAGCCTCTCCGTGTTCAGTAGTCGAATTAAATCGCAGTGGATAAGGTGAAGGTGATCGAATATACCTTTACATGTTCTATGACAGCTCAAGTTATAAGGGCTGAATATATTCTCTCTCGGGTGCAGCAGTTTAAACTATTAACAAATTGTATCTTACATTTTCTGTTTTTCTGTTTAAATATTTCTTTGTATTTGATCGATCCTAATTACACACGGTATACTTCAGCAACTGTTTCTGCGGGAAACTCCTTGATACACACCATGTTATATGCAATTGATCTGGCCCCACCCTGCCTGCCAGCACCCAGTGAGGGTAAGTGACACGTGTGAGTTCACCCTGAGGCCAATGTACCACGCAATAGACTGAGTAACAAATCGGTCAGGAGTTTCAATTTAGTTTCAAATATTGCCTCACGACCTTGTCTATACACATGTCTAGACCTATCCACAGAACCAGGGAGTTGGAGTGACTAGACACACATCCAGTTGATCGCATGATTCATGGCCACCATAATAACAGCATTGATTTATGAACCTAATCGCCCGCGTCTATGATGAATGGCCTGGTACTATGACACCATATGTACTATTTGATTGTGGACATTCGATTTAAGGGCACATTTCCAAATATACTGGAACCTTTTGGCATGCACCCTTTACAATGTGCAATATGAGTCTTGATGCATTACCAGCACAAGATCTGATGTCATATAATGTCAGATGTTCATGTGGCCCCGGTCTCTTGCATTAGACATGTGAACAAGATCACATGAGCTATTAGTCTTTTTCACTGGTTTCAAATGCTAAAATACACAACTTCAAGTCTTCTTTTCAATGTATTTAGTCAATCAAGGTGTTGGAAAAGGGAGGGTTATATCCTCTTGTTTTTTCTCAGTTTTAATTACCTAATTAAATCTTTAAGAGACGTTAACTGTAGTATCCGTGTCTTTGGTACGTTCCACCTGTCTTGCTTGCTGACGATACAACACTGGTAAGCGCATCCCCTAATGGCCAACAGGTATCACTTGATGTAGTGTCTTCATGCGCCTCTAAATGACGTTTAACATATAACCCATCAACGAGTACCATCTTCGTTTTTTAGCAAAAGAAAAGGCTATGATAGCTTCCACTGTAGCCTTGGTAACACCCCAATCCCCTTATCAGAATCTACCGTATACGGAGGTGTACGCTTTACCAGTAGCCTCTCAACAAAAACTAGAAGTGAAAAGTATTGTCAGAAAGTAAAGTCACTCAGAACTGTTGAATTGAATTATTCTGGCCTACATCCAATCATTTGTGTTAAAATATGGCTCAGAATGATTCCTAAAACTGGTCTCCATGGCTGTGAAGTATTAGCAAACATCAAAGGCCAGCAGGCTGACACCTTTGGAAAAACACAAAGGTACTTTGCTCGTCTTGTGCAAGGTCTTGATAAGGGATCATCATCAATATCTACCATTGCAAATTTGGGATTATGGTCACTAACTGGGTATATCGACAAGTGTAAATTCTATTTCTTGGGCGACTATGTCACACTGTGTGTAACAACTTGGCAAAACATATCTTATGTGCTGCTATTATAAAACTTTAGTAAAATCTAACAACATCTGTGATGATGTGTTGTCAGTATCTGAAAAGTATGATCTAAATACATACGTTGACAAATATATTGCTCAAGGCATATTTCCTTCAAAACGGGTATGGAGAAGAATTGTAAATACTACTGTATATAGTTATGAAGAACAATTATGGCGATCATAAACTTTCTATCGTTCAAACACGTCATTTTACTCAACAATTCATACTACACTCTCTTATCATACTCTCTGGCAACTGGCATATAAACACCCTAATTATAAATCTTTCTTGCAATTTTGTGTCAAAATATAACCAAGAGGAATAATATCAAGAGACTCTTTGTAATAAACACACATTTGATTATGATTTCCGTACGCTTCTCCACTGTGAAAACTTAATACAACAACGAAATGGTTTCTTTGCATACTTAATTAATAAACTTGATGTTCAAACTTAGGTAGTATTTGAAATGCAAGATGGACAAGAATCAATAGTTTCAATACTATGAGGAAATATTCTGTTACGCCTTCCTTTATATGAGCTGAAACCTCACCTTGTGAACTGTTATAGTAACTGATTCTCTTCATGTTATATATTTCTGTATATATGCCTGTCAATATCCAACTGTTAATATCCACCCACAACTTGCAACATGTTGTTTTGTTTGTAATCTTATACACACGCCTCCATAGTGACAGCGGGACAAATGTGAATTTGGGTGACTGTTTGGTTTAAGTGACACCTCGTTTTTTTGTGGCAGAGAAACAAATGTGTATTGGGTGACTGTTTGGTTTTAGTGACGCCTCCATAGTGACAGAAGAGTAAGTGTGTATTGGGTGACTGTTTGGCTTTAGTGGAACGTCCATAGTGACAGAAGGACACGTGTGTATTGGGTGACTGTTTGGTTTCAGTGGCACGTCCATAGTGACAGAGGGACAAGTGTGTATTGGGTGACTGTTTGGTTTTAGTGGCACGTCCATAGTGACAGAGGGATAAGTGTGTATTGGGTGACTGTTTGTTTTCAGTGGCACGTCCATAGCGACAGAGGGATAAGTGTGTATTGGGTGATTGTGTGGTTTAAGTGACGCCTCCATAGTGACAGAGGGATTGAGGGAGTGTGTATTGAAACTGTTAAATTCACTTCAACGGAAAATCAGGGTTCATCTGAGGTTGTGAAATAAGTGTATGGCACTGCGTCTATGTGCTACTCCTTGAGTGACCTGCCAGTGCCCACATCACACTCACATCCGACATACTCCGAGGGTGTTGCCTGAGCAGCCCCCACACCCATCAATAGCAAGCGTCTACAGATGTCGTTATCGCAGCACAAGTAATGAATATATATGGTTATTATTCGTCTCTATCTATTCACAAGAGATCTGTAGCAGCGATGTCTAATTAATGATGACAAGGATGTAATTCTTTTGATCGATCACATGGCAGTGTTACATGAAACTCTGTGGGCTTGAACTATGTATATTTCACCACTGGGTTGTCGATATCAGTTTCCACTGGGCGAGGTCCGCGGCAGTGGTGACGTGTATTTCTCCATTCCCTAGCTGGACATATAGATGGAAATCTTAAGTGCTTCGCTCAGTAACGGCGTTTTGACAGCCGATGTGGGGCATTAAGTCAATTACGATATTTTAACAGGGGAGTCTGAACTTGGATGAAGTCTTTTGGCTTCAGAAGGAAAATCTGTGTCTTGGCATCCAGTCCGTCACAGAATTCATGGCTCAAGTCCCAGATCGTTAAGAGCGACAATCTTAACAAAACGGCTAAAAGGATTGCAGCAAGGTCGATAGTGGTCACAGAATTCACGCTTACTGCGTTGAACGTTACTATGACAGACCGTTAAGCTCAATAATAACAACATTGTTTTGCTTATTATATGTCTTCCATGGATGTGCTTGATACCTTAAGTCCATATAATGGCAACAATGATAATAATTATTGCACATCAGCACTTGCGTTGAACTCTTGTCCTTTATTAAAATAACTGTTTCCCCATAGAGGGATCTGAAAAAAGCCTCGTAGAATAAAAATAATTCATTAGATGTATATACTCTTTACTTTTGTACGCCTTGAAAGATAATGTATTAACGGCAGCTGCAGCCAAGCGCACACGGCCTTTGTGGTTGCTGTATTTCAATACTAATTGTGTATAGAGTCATCGGTGTTAATCACATTGGGGAAGTATTACCGAAAAATCTAATTTCAGACTTATCCTGGAGTCATATATTAATAAGGACTAGACCATGGAAGCGTTACCGCTGAGCCCGCTATGACCGTCAACGCGTCACCAGAGGTTACTCTTCTAATGAAGCTCCTTTCACAGCCATCCCAACAGACTTACTGATATTATTTGTGACGCCGCTTTGGGACGGACGAGGAATATCGAGAAACAAATGCAACACCTCCACATAAAGGATCGCCAAATTGATAGAAGAGAGATAGATGTGAATTTGAATTATCTTACATTTGTGGCATGGGACGAGCCGTTAGACAGGACCAAGGGTTTTTAGTGTGCAGGTGAAAACACCAAACAGTTCCGTGAGCCATAACAGTTTTGTTGAAACCCTTTTGTCAAGATAAATGAAAACTGTTTATATAGTTTATTGTATATTGGGTTATAAATAAGCAAGAGGGTCTTCATTCCTGCAGTAATTGATTTATACATCAGAATGTACACAGACATGTCTACAATCACTGAAAATGTGTGACTCTGTATTCCTGGGACACAGATTGCAATCATGTATTTTCATAACGAAGAAAAACAACCTTTCTGAAATAGCTTTATGTGTTATATATATTTCCGTTCGTCTCAGTGTTCATAATTATAGTGGTTTGATAAATAAATCGAAAATAGAACACATACCTAGTTGTTATTTAATGTTTCCATTAGGAAAGTCCCTCCCCGACAACTGTCAAACATCTCATCAAGCGTGAATACGTGAGTTTGACTTTAATATAGCATGTGCCATTGTTCCCCCTAAATAACTCAGGACAAGTTGCGCACTTACAACACACTACCATTTTATCCATAAAACATAAGTTATCTGTAAAAGCAATGTATTAAATTTGTTTTGGAATCGTAATAATCTATCTTGTAGAGACGTGCTTTCACTGGCTGTCCATATCTTCTTCTCTCAAAGAATTGTTTAGCAATTCGTTGACGGAAATCTCTTAGTTCTTCAGATACAATCGGTGAGATTGTTGGAGCCGACTAGCATGAGAACGTCCACTCAAAATATCCACAAAACTGTAAGCTATATAATCGTCTGCTATCAAAAGTAGGAATTAAAACCAGTTTCCATATTATAACACACATGAAGCAGAGCGAGATTAGTAAAGTGACACAGATTCAGTTCAGGGCGAAGGCCATTGATGTCGTTACACACCAGTGACGTCAGGTATTGTGATGTGCTGTATGTTGTTATGTAGCTGCTGCAGCCGCTGGCAGTGGAAACAGGAAACACTCGCAACAACGGTTCACTAACGTATATATGATAAGTGTCCGTATTTGTGGTCAAGAATAGCTCTAAGGAGCAGTTTTAGGAATATCTGTACAAATCTTTGCTCTTCCGGTATTTGGTGGCAATTTATTCTCAATCTCAGTCAAACATTGATTTCTTGCAAAACAAAATAAGAAAAAAAAATGAAGAAAAATGAAGATATTGTTGACGTTGTGGAAACAGAATCTCACAGCTTTATACATTTGATATCCTGTAATGCGGAATATTGCTGTAAACAACTTTAACTTCATTCGTTGGAACCCACGATCGGCAAAATAACATAACGCAGCTCACTGCAGCGTTCTTGACAGCTTGGCCACCCTCCTGTACATGTGAATTCGCTTTGACTGATAGAAGTGAACAGAAGAAGTGCGGCTATAAAGGGGGACAACTGATTTCATGTAGTGTATGTACATGTCTGCTGGGTCGACAAACAATGACTTACCGTTATGCTGCTGCAATACAGAATATTTTCATACCAGTTTAATTGCAATGATTATATTCCAAACATATGTAAGTTAACCTTCAGATGATATAACAGTAATAACACCTAACAATGCAAACTTTAATGTGTAAGATAAATATAATATAACGTAGATAAACATGTCCTAATATAGCATCCAGTTGTATAATACCATGGAGACGTTAACACTATAAGAAACCTACCAAACCGATTCCATTGTCGAAATAGCGATGAACAATAACTGAAGACACAACATGTTAAGCACGTCAAAGCTAAGCATGCACTGATTCGGACATAGAAATAGATGGTAAATTGAATAATCTGCAAGCGGCGCCACAAGAGCAGGATGGGGTATTTGAAATCATTCTTTCAACCTTTTGTGAATTGAGATCACCACAACCTCTTCGAGACTGTATCCGATCGACTCTGTTTCCAAACTATATCAAATCCAAATGTGTTTCCCACTTGAACTATAGATTTAAGATGCTACACTTATGATTACATGCAATGAATGAGGATATCTTAAGTATATGGGTTGGCATCTGAGTCAGAAACATGGTCAAACGTGTGAGAGAGTGTGACAGTTTAACTTCACACCAACAATGTCCACTTTAGTCATTTCACTTAATAGCCATTGTTCACTTATAATACATTTTTAAAATGACAAATCGACACGCGCCATCGAAAGAAATGTTAGACGTGACTAATCCGTCATCCGTTGCTATCTGGAGACCTTATCACAAACGCCATAATTAGCCGGCAACCGAGACGCCATCGCAGTGCACAGTGGGTAGAGTCGCGAGGCTACATTCAGAAGAAACTGTACACACGTCCAAATGCTGCTGAGTGACAGTTAAAGCATCATAGATGAGTGAGGTTAAGTAATCTTCTCCAGCCAACGTCAGTTACATCATGTCGTGTCAGCCGACGCTCATAGACACAGGTGGAAGGCCGAGTTTGCTGCTGTCAAGCCAAGGGTCAATATGCCGGCGAATGTATCACCTTCCATCCCAAAGTCAGAGGATGGGGAGAATGCACCATACACAACGGGGGAATATATACACCCGGAAGCCAGCTAACTAGGAAGTACTCCCCGGGGTCGTGCTATACCATATGGGGGCTTCCAACCCTCGTAATATATTCAATGCTAAAATTCTCCAATTGTATCTAAATTGTCGGTCTACATAAACTCTCTCAAGCATACATTTCCCCCAACTTTCGACACACACCAGTCATACAACATAAACCGATGTAACTATCGTTCTACCTTCAGCCGATATATTTTCGTTTATCTACACTGAATATATCACAAAACTGTGAAAACATTTATGTACAGTACAGGTCTAAACTGGTATAGGAAAAGGTCCTCTTTGTAGCAGTTTTAGTATCGTGTATTGAAGTGTTTCCTATGCAGGCAGAAGTTCTATTTACTTTACATTTTGTTTTCAACAGTCTGCAGAATAAAGTTGTTTCGGTGAAAAATTCATTTTCTGGTTGACAAAACAGAAGCCTCCCGCCCCACTCTCCAAATAGAGGTGAGGTGAAATGGGGTTTAACATCGTTCTTAAGGATATTTCGCTCATATGACGACGTGCATGCGTGTGTATGTGTGGCTGCTTGTACACGCCCAGACTTAAGCTGGTTTTATAGTGCTAGCTCACTGAGATACCATGACGCAGTTATCATGAATACCCCACTCAGACACATTATACTGACTCCGAGCCGACCAATCCTTGTGTTAGTACAGTGTTACCCATTATTTCCGAGCGCCAGGCAGGGACCAACAAGTACCATATTTTAACGTCTTTTGGTATGACGCGGTCGGGATCGAACCCGCCACCTTCCGTTCTCCGGGCGGACGCTCTAACCACTACATCACGGAGGCGGTCTCCAAATAGAAAATAAACCGAACAAATAATTGAATATTAATTAATGGTGAGTCCCTTGAGGGAAATTTTGAAATGCTGAAGGCAACTGGGATGTTACTGTCTTTCAGTTGCATGTCTGAGTGCTACACAACATTCAGTACAGTATACTAGCGCTTACCTGCCTAAAACATCTTCGTTAAGTTTAGA